AAGGACAGGAGCCGAATGGCGTTCTTTGGTGGCGGCCTCATGTGCAGACGAATTTGTATTAGATAAAATGTACATATTAAGAAAGCTCATGGAAATTTACTAGACTTCTTGATACAAGATTTATGGTATAGCGTCTCATGTGGATTAACAATTACCAGAACAGCAATTTCGTCGGAGAAGTTGGTTTATAAGGAAAGATGTACTTACAAACTTCGCACTGTTTTCCTGTCCAGCCAGACGCACAGATGCACATGTAGCTGCCCTCAGGAAGAGTAAGACATGTCCCACCACTTGAACAAGGAGTCATGGAGCAAGGGTCAACCTCTGACAAAAATGCAATTGGAAACGTGAGCGATAATACTAATTTAGAAAATTATATTTGATCAAATGTGCAAGAAATGCTATCCCATCCTTTACTTATACAAATTCCTCTACCAACACCCCCCTAAAAACAAAATGCTACCCCTGCTGCCAAATGCCAAAAATAAAAACGAAAATAAAATAAATTGACAGAAAAAGGCCGGAGGCGTTTACTACAGTGCACATAAACCATTAGTGATGTCACTAACGTTATTTTATTACCTTTGATGATCGAGTCCTTTAGAGACGCCATCGTAGGGCCAAGACCGTCGTAGCTATCAGTTGTCACCACATGCTCCGAGTTAGGCTCTGATGCCATCTCATTCAACTGACCACGTAAATATCGACCAACACCGACACTGAAAATTGTGACATTGTCTCGCTTCAAAGCAAACGAAGGGACAGCCAGATCGTCGTCTGATCCATCGTCAGTCAGGACAACAAGAATGTCTCGTCCTTTGTTATTCCCATGCTCGTCTGAGCGGTTAAATAACTCTGTTTTTGCTAGTTCAAGCGCTTTTCCGATATTTCTTCCTTTACCAGTTACGTTGAGATTGTCCAAGACAGTTCCAAACACTGCATGCGCGGTGTTATCATCGAATCTGTGCTTTAGGTATGGTTTATCAGAATATGTTATGATGCCCACTTTCGTGTCATCTCCATCATCTTTCAAGGTTTTAGTAACACCTTTGACGAATTCTACTTGTTTTTTAAAATTCCCCTTCTGGTATTCATCAATGTCTTCTCCAGTGTATACGACGAAGCCTACGTTGAAACCACTTGAATATTCTTTGATGAAAATGAAAATCAAAAACTTTAACAGAAGGAGCTTAACGAATTTTGGAAACAAAATATCTCGGCGATATAAATAGTCAAACAGCGTGAAGGGGGAAAAACAGCTAGGCAACGATATGCCAACAAAAAGGAGAAATGGCCACAAGTGACAAAGGAAATAAACAACAATAACAGCAACAACACCGGGTCTTTCGACCCAGATTTCTGTAAATGGCAAATTATCTTCTCAGCATCTGAAAAAATCATCTTTTTAAAGTTGACGTATAATAATTGCATTGTAAGAAGCTATTTAAAATAAGACGTTGAGCACAATATCCTGTACCTCCTCTGCATAAGTTCTCTTTGTTAAAGAATCCCGGTCTGCAGTTACAAAACGAGGTGCCTGGGAAGTTAATGCAGAGTTCTCTTTCCCCGCATGCCACGTTTGAACACTCGTTGATATCTGTCAGGGAAAATTATATCAAAGTTGCACTATAGAATACCTCCATTAACCTGATAACTTCGGCTTTTTTCTTCTGCCGCGAGAGCATTTCTTAAAGAAAGGTCTGTAGGACTGGTAGGCTTTCTCTTTGATATTGTCAGTAGCGCAAATATTTTACATTACTGTAAGTAGAGAGTATTGTATCTTATTGTAAGTAAAGAAAGTTTTGAACGGTACTGCAAGTAGGGTAAAATGTTGTATTGAATTGTAAGTAGAGTAAGCATAAGTACTTACCGAAAGTAATGTAAGTATTGTTTCTAAAGGTAGAGTATTGTGGAAGAACCAAATGGTAGAATATACGGTACTTTATTGTAAATAATGTAAGCAATTATGAGTTTTTGCCAAAAAAATTGGGTAAGGACGTAATAGGCAAACAAATAGCGGTAGGTGGTTTATGCAAAATTGAATCATATTCTCTCAGCGATTTTGACCTTGTCTCTAGTTCTACTCGCACTGCGTCCACGCACACGAAAGAAGTGAATCTTACGTAGGAAAAATAGTTAGAACACACCTATCTCACAGTTGACTCCTTCATAACCAGATGGGCAAGTACATTCGTAGCTATCAAATAAGCTCTGGCAGGTTCCACCATTACTACATGGATTACTGAAGCAGTGATCCACAGCTAAGGGAGGAAAACCATACGAGAAGCTAACTACAAACAATGAAAGTGGAGAAATAAACACAGAAGAGAGGCACTCAGGTTTTTTTTTTCCTTTTTTCAACCCCCGACACCTAATTCCCGCCCAATATACAAACCGCTGTGGAGGACAGAGATCAAGTTTGACGACGAACATAATTATATACACGTACGTTTTTCCTGGTTACTCTTCATTGATCATTTCAATCTTACCATTACAAAGCGACTCCTTTATTTTGTCACCGGTGCTATGCAGATCGTCATAAACTGGTGCTTCAAACACATGAGAGGGTGTAGTTGCAATCTGCTGTAGTTCCTCTGTAGCATAATATTCTCCGACACCAACTGCCAGAGTGACAACCTTCATCGCTTTGAGATGCGCCGAAGGCAACGACACATCGTCAATCGACGTGCCATCCGTCACAGCAACCAGACAGTTGTGCATTCCTGGTCGGGCGTGACCAAAGAGGTTATTCTGAACAGCTTCTAGACCAGCACCAGTATAAGTGGCATTCTCAGGGTAGTTCATTGTATCGATAGCATCGTTGATGTCTGTCTTGGAGTAATACGTATCAAATGTAAACTGTGTTATGGTTATCGAGGAGTAAACCACGAGTCCCACATTGGTGTCGTCTCTGTCGACCTTGTAGAAATCGATCACAGATTTGATCAGGTTCTTGTATTGTAAAGCAGCTGACGAGTTGAGGGTTTGCATGCTTGCAGAACCGTCAATTAGGAAAGCCAAGTTAAATTTGTTACGCTTGCAAACTGCAAAAAACAAAGAATAAAGAGTTTAAATAACTGCATGTATGAGTCAGCAATCAAAATCCAATTTGGGTTGGCAATGACGAGGGCGATTTTCCATCGAGAGTTTACGGTGCGACTACCCAAACTGAGCCTCTTGGAAAAGATCTTGGAAGATAGCGGTTTTTTTTTGTTATCAAATAAACTAATTACATTGAGGAATACGAACAATAGATCTAAACAAAATTTAAAACCCAAAAAAGTGCGCGGTGATACGAAACTCAGGAAACTCTGCCATTTCTTGACTGGCTAGTTTTGACCCTAAATTTTGAACGTTTTTCAACCGTTTCGGTCTAGTTGTCGCAAAATGAGTTTTCAAACCGTTTTTTTCGAACGAGATTTATTACTAAGATAATTTGCCGTCAAGGACTGAATGTTTGTAACGCAGAGGAGCCGATAGTGTTTATGTTTTCACGTCAAACAGACCATTACTTTCCGTCACGACAAAGCTAATAGTCTTTTGTTCTCAGTTTACGTTTTGACCGCTTAGTTTTCTTCTAAGTGGCCCGGTTCGGGCATCAATTACAACAGACATGCTACATTCTAACAAGTGAGGAGAAAACAAGCCATTACCGTTCACAGCTAGCTTAGGTATGCTTTCCGGCACTTGGCAAGGGTGCCATGATAATTTTTGGGCGCTTGGTAACATAATTTTCAATTATTGATTATCATACACCGAATGCAAATATGGCGGACCACTCGGTCGGTGCCCGGGACGAGTCGCATGAAAGCGAGGCTAGTCAGGCTTTGATGTTTTTCCAGAAAAGTCTTGCTTCGTCGTCGATCTGGTCTGTTTTATTTAGCTGTGGCTACGAGCTGCTGTGTTTCTGAACGCCACGAGAAGGGATATAAATTT